TGTTCTTGTAGCAGCATGATAAACCATGATAGGTGCACTGGACAGAAAAAAAAGAAAGAAAAAACATTGTTCACAGTTTTAAAAGCTTAACTATTGCATATACGTTTGTACTTTGAAGTAGATAGTTTGATTTTTACAAATGTTAGTGATTTGTGTGAGAAGGATCTACCTTTGGTCCATATCTAAAATGATCATACAGCACATTTGATCTGAAAGACTACATTACCTGTACTTCTAGATACAGTGAATGTAATATAAAGTTCACTTTAGTCCGCACATTTTTGGCTGCAGTTGTGAAAGTATATGTAAGTAGCTGACAGCTTGTCAAATTGATCCATGGGTAATCTGTTCTGCTCTCACTCAGAGGTCTGCTTCAGCAGTGAATTTGCAAACCTTGAACATTTCTCTTAAAAGTCATTCTAGGCTGCTAACCTTTTAAAGAGCAAACAGCAACATTTCCTCTTCCTTTTGCTCTTTTTGTCAGTGACATCAGTTAACATAAACTGACATTTTAGTCTGGCATACTAATGGTTTAACTGAATGAATGGATGCAGGCGCAGTTATACTTGTTAATTGAGAAATGCAAGAGGTTTGGGATTCTGTGCCAAGGTAATGATCTGTTGCACATTTTGTCATTAAGCCAATAAATCTCTTTGCTACCAGTCATTAAACCTAAGGGCAAAGTTGTGTGAAGTGGTAAAAGTGAGTTTATTTATGGTTGCATACTTTCATTTTTGTCTCTAATGGATGGACACAGCCAAAATATGCTGCTTTCTCTCTCGAGTCAAAAAGAGAAGCGGTTTACAGCTGCATGCACATGAGAGACTCAATTAAATATTAGAAATGACAGTTACAAATATTATTTAATTATTTCCGTTTCCACTTTTACAGAGCAAGGTACTGATTTAAACCCTCATGTAAGTCAAACTGCAACATAGGTAAGCAAAACCCATATTTTAATAGGTTTGATCAGAAATGACAAAATCATAACATTGTTGCCAAGTGTAATCAGTGGAAATAATTCCCAGGCTTTGTCAGTTTTGATTATGTATACAATATATATACTATTGCATTTAAATGATCATTTTCATCATTATTATTTTCATTTGATGATTTCCAACATGTCAAATTTATTTCAAGAGTTACATGGCACAGCAGTTTTTGTAGTAACTGATGTCAGTCAAGTTTAAATGCATGGTTGAAAAGCTAAAAAGAAGAATGTCCTTTGTTCATGAAAAGTAAGCATTTTTGAAAAGCTGTTTAACTCTAGATAAGTACTCAAAGAATCCCTGCCCCTATATCAATGGTCAAAAGGAAGCTCTGACCAGTGGGCACCAGATTCATTAGAAATCATCCACCATGAGTTTACAAATTTCATAGCAATCTGGTCAGCTGTTAACAAACTGTATCTTTCTGCAGACACAAAATGTTACACTCCTTCAAGGAGGCTCAGGGGAGTTACCAAACTTGAATTGTGTAAGCATAAAAATAAAATACATGTGTGAATGCGTATACATTATATACATTATAGATGTATAACAGAAATGCTGAATTCATCATTAGAAATTGTTTCCATTTTCTTCTGTCTTATGTGAAAAGTATAATTCTCTTAAAATGGAGGGAACAGTGTAATAAACATCGTAGATGTTTTCTATTAGGACAGTGCCAAGAAAGATGGAGGAGTGTCTGAGGATTTGTATTACACAGAGAGCAATTCATATCTATGTCAAAATGAGTCCATTAGGGTGTAAGGGTCCCTGACTTGGTAGATTAATTATCTAGCTGAAGCTTGCAAGTTGTACTTTAAGTGATGAAGGAGGCTATTTGCGTGTGTAATGCTCTTGATTTGCATGAATTTTTAGTGACTAAGATGAAAACTCTGAGTACTGAGCTCAAGCAACAGAAGTGCAAAAAGTTAGAAGTAAATTCCAATAGCAAATTGCCTGTGCAACACAAAACTCTCTGACCCCAGTGTATCAGAAGTTATCTTGTGTCTGTATTTAAAACAGTTCAAATGTATAACATGAAATATAACTAATAACTAAGAAAACTAGTCAATTTTAGCATTGAGTAAAATTACATTTTTGCTGCTCTAAATCTATCTCCACCACAGGAGGAGGTCAGTGATGATTATAAGGAAATGAAAATTTTAAAGTACTATACCCAAGGCCAGATGTGCCTCTGGTGACTGCATAGCTTACAGACACTGTACTGACACTGTTTGCAATTAAATTTGAAATGTATCCATTCCATCAAAATGTCTCAAGAGTTACTAAGTGACGGGTTTCTGGTAATTAAGTAAGTGATGGAGATGTTTGATCACATCCTCCGTATTGATCCTACTGAGACTTTCTACAGATGACTTGATTATGGCTGAAGGGAATAAGACCCAATAGGGAGATTCTACTCTGTACCTTGCTCTATACACAGTTTCTATTATTGGTATTACATCGATATACATATTACATGAATAATTGTATTTGTTTGTGTGAAAGGTCTGATTGAAGGGCTGAGTGATGTAGCTAAGAACATGGCACTTTACTTTTATGATCAAAGACAAGTTGGCGTAATTTAGGAAAATATGTTACATCTTCATTATAGATACAAAATATTTCATCAAGATTTCTAAGTGATTTTAAAATTTTACTTTAATTCATGTTGCAAACTAGTTTTGGGGCTATATTTTGCAGTGTTCTTGTGGTATTGTCATGACCAGAGGCACACAGTGTGCCTGCTGATAACTTGTGAATGGTTAAAAGCTGGCGTCAATTACATCCAATCATATCAGCTCCTCTGATCCTGTGAAAAGCAGTGCCCTCAGCAGCATGACTTACTGACCCTTTAGGAAAGGAGTAAAGAGTCCAGACTGTCCTCTCCTAAGAGAAGAAACAAATATTCTCTCAGAGAGGGACAGAGGGACACCACTTTAACGTCCACACACTGCTCTCCACTTTGACCTTTTATAATCACTATATATGGTGGAGAAATACATTTCTCACCTTTTATTATACCTTCAAAGCAGAATTGTGCTAATTTTGCAAAATTATAGGAGGCTGTTTCAAAGGAGGTCTTTCCCCAGCATTATGCCCCTTGTATGTATGGCCATTCATTACAGGGTGTAGTTACTTTTGGATATTCAAAAGCAAAATAGAGAAAAATCAACGGAAAGAGAGAGAGACTGAGAAAACTGTTATGTCGTTTCTGGGGTTACAGGTGCAGAACATGAAATGTGCCCTTTTCAGTAGTTATGAGTCGCATCTTGACAGTTCAATTTGTTCTGCAAAAGGCTGCCAAAGACTAAATCGTCTTTTCTATTTTTTTTTGGCTCACTCACTAGTGATCCTTGTCGCTGTCTTGGACACTGCAGGTTGTGAGATATCTGTTTCTGTAAAGGTCTCACAACAATATTTGATAGCTCTATTCCTCATCAGGCCCGTATTTCTAAACTTCTGTCTCTTCACCTTCTGGCGGGGAAATTGGATAGTGAAAACCTCTGTCCTAGATCACATTTAAGAGAGAGATGGGCTGGTGACAACCAAATAAGCAAGCTCTTACTCTCTTTCTGCAGTAAGTTGAGAAGCTGCATTACTGTCACAGCTATAGAATGCAAATTATACTTAACTAAAAATAAGCATTTACTCATGTAGAGGAACAAATCAAACATTTTTTCACTATTTGAATTTACCTGAACCAAAAGTAGCATCTTGATTTTTTCTTTTTTCTAATTTTCTCACTTGTCAACATACTCTCGGCTTTTCATTTGAAGTTTGCAAGTGCCTCCCTAAATATGATTTAAGACTGACTGAAGTGTTTACTCGAAAGCGTAAAGCTTCCCACAAACACCCAGAAAGAGGATAAGTATATAAAATTTAGTGGAGGCACAGCCCATCAGTACCATCCTCGAATCTGAAACAGGATTAGTCTGCCTATTATCAGCCTGTCAGATTTGCTGTAATGAAATTCAGTAGCACAGAGCAAGAGATGGGGATGTTGACATTTTGGTTACAGGTGCAAAAATGATTTCCTGACCATACAATAGCCACATGAAGTAGTTACTGACTGATCACTGCAACATTTAAGCACATTTGGGGACATACTTACGTCATTTAATTAGATATATTTATTTGCATGTGAAGTAGCCAAAGTAAGCCCATTTTGTATTGAAACTCCCAGGCCCAATCAGAGACATAGGGGGAAACAAAGCATTAAGCACAAATGGAACATTTTTGAAACACTGTCTTGACACCATAATGCCTCCATGTGGAATTCTTTTCAGTAGTCAGGGCCATGAGTGACAAGGGAAACAGAGCCATTCACAGTGCTTATGACTATCAGCATCAGTGGCAGTGAACATTGCACACGGGCATGCCAACGTCATTGATTTGTCAACTTGAGTTGAGGGCATCTTGAGTCATTTTTCATGTTTGGCATCAGTGGCATCCAAGTGATGCAAAGTTGACATTGTTTTCAAGTTCTGCTTTAGCATCTCTGAAAAAAGACTCCTGAGGTTCTGTAACTGAGGCAACTTCCCTCTGTCCCCCAGAAAATATCTGTACTACGGAGAAAGAATATGTGTTACGGTTTTGTTGTGTGTGATATAAGGTTGAATAAATATCCTCTTTTTGTTCCAAACTGGTTTCAACTTTTTTGACATAATTCTGACAATTTCTGTGAGGATTTTGTTGTAATGTCCTCACTCATCTGTTGAGAGCATACTTCAGGTTCTCTTTAATTCTCTCAGGCATGTTTCCATTTAAATGTAAATTTTTCTTCCAGTTCCAGTTGCAGGTGTGTTTTCAGTGCCTTTAACACACACATCATCTTCATCCACTGACCATAATGATTTTATACATTAAAATGAATGTGGTAATGGAAAAAAGTTCTATTGATCCTTTTTAATCATTCAGCTGTGATCTGTGATGATTCAGTAGTGAAGTGTCGATTATTTCAGTGGACTGAGATTGAGTTTCTATGTCTTATTGTCCGTCTCTCTCCTGTAGGGTGATGATGTCCTGACAGTCATCAAAATGAAAGCACAGTGGCCAGCCTGGCAACCACTTAATGTGTAAGTAATTTATCTTGATTATTATACACACATTAGAATAAATAGTAATGAAACACTTCTTCTTTCCTGAAATATTACATTGAAAATTTTGTAGTAAGTAAATGTGACTCACTTTCCACTTCATGAGTTATTCATTAGCTCCAACTCTAGTCTTTAGTCTCATGAAGGTAAGATGGCTATATAGAAAAACATTTACAAGGTGAAACACTGATATGGATAAACTGGACACCATGACTTATCAGGACTGATGGTGTATGGAACTTAAAAGTCAAGTAAAAAGTCATGGTCTTTTGTAGGTAGCTCTTTCTTTTAAATCAGATGCATTATGTAACACTTACACGACATATATTTTAACCTAATGGACACACTGGGAAAGTGGTCTTAGACTTTTGGACTCCACTGTTTGCAGAAATGGGATTACCTTTTAGTAGACTGTGTCCGTTCACAGCAGACCTGTAATAGGTGGAGTCTGGGAATACAATGGCCTCTCCCCTATAAGCCAGCTTTACTGCTAATTTTCTTTTCTAAACTTCTTTTAGTACTTGTCCTATCCCTGCAGTGAATCTGTAATGGGCTTTAATCATTATCAAGCAACTCTATAGGGTCCATAATGGATTCAATGGTATATATGTGTCCCCTGCTATTTTAATTTGACAGTTGTGTTTGACATGTGTCCAAATTTGAGGTCTTAGTATGAATTTGTGGACACAAAAAGCATTCAGCAGGAGATACTCTATGCCCGCTGTGATGGATTTCCTATTTCAAAAAGTTCTCAAATCTCTCTAAGCTGATTTTTACAGCCCGTGTCTGCAAGATAGGAAATCGGTCATCGTTTGCCATGGCGGACATTTTATTTTTGAGTTTATATTTGAATTTAGTCACTTCCTGTTTTATTTTGTAGTTGGTTTCCTTGTGTGTCTCAATGTTTTTACTTCCTGTCTTGGTCCTGTTTCTCTGTTTGGTAATTGTCTGCCCCGCCCTAATGTGTTTCACCTGTGTTCAATCACCCTTGCCTACCTTGTGTCTATATAGTCTGTGCTCCCCTTTGTCTGTGTCGCTCGTCTGTTCATGTCTGGTTTGTCCTCGGTCTGTTCGTGTTGGCTGTTGTTATCCCCTGTGTCCCCAGTGCTTCGGTTTCCTGTTCGTAAGTCTTCCGATAATAAACATTTTTGCACTTCATTCCAATGTGTTGGCTGCATTTGAGTCCAGCTTTACCCGCACCATGACAGAACAAACCAACCATAATATGGACACAGCAGCATTCGCCAGTTTCATGGCTGTTTTGAGGTTGCCTCAGTCCTCCCAGCCAGGCCCCTTTGCATCCTTTCTGATTCAGATCTGGGGGATCCTGAGCCGTCTCCTTTTTGGGGAATCCGGCTAGTCTTCCCTGGGGAAAAAAGATTTAAAAAAAAAATAAAATTTTTATATATATATATATATATATAAATAAATAATTAAAGTGGGAGCCCCTGGGAAGGTAGCGGAGATGCCGGTTCTCCAAGCAGCCTCAGCCCCAGAACTCCAACCCGAGCCTCGGCCTCGATCCTTCCAGCCAGCGCCCCCGTCGAACGTCAGGTCCCTTTTACACGCTGACCCGCTGTCTGACAAAGACCTGGAGGACCCTGACCAGTCCCCTTTCAAGTGAACTCGTCTGCCTGTTTTTCCGGGGTTCCGTGGTGGCCACAGAAGACGAGGACATCATGGCCGCCGTCACCACAGGGAAACTCAGCTTCAGCCCCAGCCCCAGCGCCAGGTTCCTCGCTTCCAGCCCAAGCCCCAACTACCCCACTATCCAGAACCTCTGCTCTCCTGTGACCAGGAGCCCTCGCCAACCACCCTGGCTGACGCATCAACTGTTCCAGCTTGGGGGTCCCAGTTGACGTTTAATCGGCTCCTGACTCAATTCCCGGGTCAACCATCCTGGCTGACGCATCAACTGTCTCAGCGTCGGGGGTCCCGGTAACCTCCTCCCTTGTTCCTGAGTTAGTGGATTTGGACAACGTCTCTCCTTCTCCTCCTGTCCTGTCGGCGGTCCGGCCGACTCCTGCTCCACGTATCATGTCGGTGGTCTGGCCGACTCCAGTTCCTGATTCCTAGCCGGCGGTCCGGCCGAATCTCGCTCCCCTTGTCCTGTCGGTGGTCCGGCCGACTCCTGTTCCTGATTTTCTGTCGGCGGCTCAGCTGACTCCTGATTCTGGTTCCCCGTCAGTGGTCCGGCCGGCTCCTGCTCCCCGTGTTCTAGCGGCGGTCCAGCCGACTCCTGCTCCACGTATCATGTCGGTGGTCTGGCCGACTCCAGTTCCTGATTCCTAGCCGGCGGTCCGGCCGAATCTTGCTCCCCTTGTCCTGCAGGTGGTCCGGTCAACTCTGGTTCCTGATTCCTAGCCAGCGGTCCGGCCGATACCTGCTCCTCGTGTTCTGTCGGCGGCCCAATGGACTCCTGCTCCTGTTACCCAGTAAACTCCTGGTCACCCTCTAGAGGATCTCCACCTGCGACGCCGGCCTCCTGCTGGCGGGCCTCTTGTTTGCCGGTCTCCTGTTCGCCGGAATTCTACTCGCCCTCCAGAGGGGCTCCGCCTGCAACGCCGTCCTCCGGCTCAACCTCCTGAGAGACCCAGTCTTCGCCGCCGCCCTCCTGCTAGCCGGTCTCCTGCTCGCCCTCCAGGGGGGCGACGCCATCCTCCGGAGAGACCCGGTCGTCGCCGCCGTCCTCGGCTCGGCCCCCTTGTCCTGTCGGTGGTCCGGCCGACTCCAGTACCTGATTCCCAGCCGGCGGTCCGGCCGATACCTGCTCCTCGTGTTCTGTCGGCGGCCCAGCGGACTCCTGCTACTGTTACCTAGTCAACTCCTGGTCACCCTCTAGAGGAGCTCCACCTGCGACGCCGGAATCCTGCTCGCCCTCCAGAGGGGCTTGGCCTGCGACCCGTCCTCCGGCTCAACCTCCCGAGAGACACAGTCTTCGCCGCCGTCCTCCTGCTCGCCGGTCTCCTGCTCGCCGGTCTCCTGCTTGCCCTCTGCTCCGCCTGCGGCCTGTCGGCTTTCTGCTCGGCCTCTAGAGGGGCTCCGCCTGCGACGCCGGCTTCCTGCTCGCCCTCCAGAGGGGCGACGCCATCCTCCGGCTCGACCTCCGGAGAGACCCCGTCTTCGCCACCATTTTCTTTGTCCCTGTTTTGATCCTGACCATCAGAGGATGCTCTCCTGCTCTGCCCCGGTGGCCCCAGTCTCCTTCACTTGCCCGGTTACTTTCCTTCCTGCCCACTCACACTTGATTACAAAATTAATCCAAAAAATATTTTGGCCTTTTAAAACGACCCACAGATGGACAGTATAAAGCATCCACAATTTGCTGTTAAAGAGCGGATTCTCAACCACTGGTGGGACCACTTAATAGGAATTACTTCATATATGATTCAGCAGGTTCTGTAATGTTCTAAGGCTCAAGGTGAGACCATGCAGTGTGCTAATATCCAAATTTGGACCTGGCTTGTTGATCATTGAAAGTCCAGCTCAAAGGTGCCCTGAAACTTCCTGCTACACCATGCTTACAGTGTGAAAGCTCATTTACTCCTAAACTCACAGGAGCCATTTCATCTCTTATTCATGAGAACAAGAAGCTTGTTGGCTCAGCTTGTACAGAAGAACTTCAATGGTGAAGGCCTGTTCTGTGCTGTTTTCATCAACCACAGGGCCTCAGTGAGGGCCATGAGTTTCGTTTCCAAAGGGGAGAAGAACAGCTTGGAATAGAAGTAATGATATCCACTATGGCTAATTAGCTCACTCTGTGCTGTGTATGCAACCAGTTAATTGTTTCACACAGTGATTGTGTACGGGACATGCAGGACTGTGTCACATTAATTACATTGGTTTGGAGCAGGAAAAGGATAGGACGTTTTGTATTGATAACTACATGGAAGTGTCCTCACCGTGAAAGCAGACTGAAGAAAGAAAGAGAGCTAAATAAAGGTTTTACTCAACCAACTGGAAGATGCACCTTGTTCGGCTTTAGCAGAGCCTTTAGAGAGGTCATTCGCTTTACATATTAGCTGCAGGAAAACTGCATAAATGCACATTTAGCATGTTTCATAGTTGGATGTGTGTTTTCCAGTTATACAGTGTAAATATATGCATGTTTGTGCGTCTCCATGTTTGTGCCTTTTCTTGTGTACGTACTGTATATAAGTATGTCTGTGTAAAGAGTTTTTTTTTTTTTCTATTTTAACACATTTTTTCTCTTAATTGGTTAATGATCTCCTCATCCCCATTCAGTTTTTCAAACTGAGGTTTTTTTAAAAGGGTGGTTGTCAATTAAACCCTCAAATTCCTTGCTTTGACAAAATAGGATGAGGAAGAGAGAAACTGGGAGGGGAGAGAAACGAAAACAACTGGAAATTGCAAGGAAGTGATTAAATAAACCTTCTGAGAAGACTAGGGTGAAATTACATTAAAGGTGCTTCTTTTTTTAGGTCAATGATGGGGTTAAGAAGCAGTATATGTACTTCAACTTCATTCTGTAAAATGAAGTAGCTCCTCTTAAACCAAGCTTTCAATTTCATTTGACTATAAAGAGCAAAATGATTGCTAGAACAAAGGCCAAAGCAGCTGAGATGTAGATGGAGAATAGAGGTGGGAGATGAGAAAAGAATGAGGCTGAAGAGGTGACAGCCATTATCACACATATTACAGCAGTATGTTTACGACAGTGGCTCTACTTAGATCTAATACATACTGTAACAGGGAAAAAAGTTAACTTTGTAATAAGTATTTTCCAGAAAAGAAGGTATTCTAGATATTTGTGCAGCTTATTTATACATACATATGAGGGTCACCGGGCTTTTGGTAAATAAATAAAGTCAGTAATTAATCATTACAAATAATACAACAAAAAAACAAAACAAACGCATATAGTTCATTAAAACTACAACCACTTTGGGATCACTGTGTGTATTGACAAAGAAATTGAAAAGCTGATGACATGCTCCTATATTTTTAATCAGTAATATTTTCTCTCTGATTTCTATCATACAACTCAAATGACTCAGCCTGTGCTCTCAAAAGCCAGCATTTCCTAAAATACTGTAGGTGAAGCAACCAGTAAATGTCATGCTCTATCACGGCTTCCTGACCACATATGTGTCTGAGGCGGTTATTGTTCCTGTCTATCTCCTCACTACTCAAAATAGTGCAGTTGGCTGCAGTGGGAACGAGTGAGACTCAAGATGCAGTCAGACTGGCAGTTAGGCTAAAAGAGCGGCGGTACATGAAAATGCCATTTTGATAAGAACAAACTGAAACCGAAATGTTTGACTCGTCTAGTGGACAACTGTTGTCCCATAAACTGACAAATCTTAGATAGGCTACTTTAAATATTTTAAAGATACCACTGCCTCAGGGCTGTGCTTCAACCTGGAATTTTTTGGACACAAAAGATGGTGTGTCATGATGTCTGTCTAAATGACTGTCTAAATTAGAGGAGGCAGAGGCTGAACTTGAATCATTTCTTCATCATCTAAATACAGAGGAAGTGGAGGTACAGTTTAAGGTAAATGTAGAATGGAGTTGCATTTGCTAAAAAAAAACAAAAAAAACACAAATTTTACTCAGAGCTTGACATTTAAATTTTAGTTATGTCACTGACTACCTACACAGTAAAAGACTGAGAGTATCAGTAGGCAGGCTCTGAGGCAGCAGGTATATGCTGATAATGCCAATCCAGCTTCTCTAGCTTTGGTATGGAAACTAGATACTGCAACTAAAACAGACTGCCAGTACTTTAGACGCTTGCTTTGGGGCGCCAATCTGAGTTTAATAAACTAGTATTTTCAACATTGTCTAGTATGACACCTACCATTTTAATATTGTACTTGTAAAAAAGTATAAACACACAATTCAAACACACCTCTCTCAATCAGTCTCAGTCAAACACACACCCAGTCACCTCACAAATGAACAGCAGATTCTAACACAAAAATGGATTTCACAGCAATTACTCAACCTGTTTTCCGTAGACCTTAATAAATAGATAATCCTCAAACCTCCACACAGCTTCTCTTTGTCTCACTGTATCCTCCCACTCTCTACCAAATCACACTAGATTCTAGATCCACCTTTAGTTTCCTCACAAAATTTCTCTTCATTAGTTCCTTCAACCCCCATCCTCACCTCTCTATGCCACTTCCCACTTTATACCGGAGGAAAATGGTTGCATCCATGACAGCTACAGAAGCTCCATGACGCTCCTTATTGTCTCCCCACTTCCACTCTCTCTTGTCAGGCGTCTTCCTAATAACCAGAGGACTACACTGTGTGTTACATTTGATTAGCAGCTAAAAAAAAAAAAAAAATAAGGTGGTTGTCAACGGTGTGAAATAAGGAGCTTTTGAAGACAAGAATACAGCTGTTAATGAGCTGCCTTCTTTATTTCTGTCACTCTCAGAACTACTTTTTGGGGTTGATAGCAAAGGTTGATGTAAGTGTATAGTGTGGTGTAGTACTGCAGCACATCTCGCCTCACTTCTGGGCTAACCTCTGTTCTACTAGCTTCTGTGCAACCAAGTATTTTGCATATAAGAAACATAGAAAACATAATAATCTGGTTGTCTAGTTCTGCAATAATTTATTGCAGATTAGGACTGAGCTTTAACTGTTTTAGGCACTGCTGTAGCAAGCCTGTCTGCAGGACAATAAATGTTACAACTTTCAACAAAACAGTTATATTTTTTCAACTTATATTGGGCTTTTTTTTACAGGCTGTCATTTAAATAAACTATTATTTTCTAATAGATGCCATGGATACTCCACAGCCAGTTAATTTGAATGTTTTGAGGCAGAAAGAATTTATTAGACCAATCAGAATTGCCTAGGTTGGGCTGAAACCCAAGAAAATAAAAAAAAGTACTGTGGTTCATGTCACTTAAACTTACCCAGAATTTAACCATCAGAAAACACCCATTTGCAATCCATTTTTGGAACAGTCAAATGTAAGGGCGGGAATGACATGTGCCAAATATCTATGTTGCAACACCATGACACCTGCTAACATTACAACATACTGTATAAACACCTCTCCAAAAATATACCTGCATTTTTCTAAACATTTAGGAATACAAAAGGATGTCCCTGGGGTTACAGTATCTAGGGTGATTAATCCCTTCCCTCATTTGCTACCAGACTTGCTCCGTCTGTTCTTTTCTGTCAATTACGTTTTTCACCTTTTTGTAGCGCGCAGGTGGCTGTCTGAGATAAACCTCAGACCTGCAGTACTTACTGAGCAGAGGCCCAGGAGAGTTGAGTCAAGTTGTATGTTCCCAGAGGATAAGGGCCATTTCACATCCTCAGAGGCCATCATTAGTGGAGTGCACAAGGGAAGGACTGAGTTGGCTGAAGTCAAATGGATTTATATGGGCATGATGACAGCTGAAAAGGGATCACTGGCTAATTGTCAGTGTTACGACAAGAATCTTCCCACTCCTAATTAATCTTGAATTGGCTGGGAAACTTTTTGTAATTGGTTTAGCTGTCAGTCACTGGTCAAGACAGATGGCAGAGGTGTGTTTCTCTCTTGTGCTGGACCTGATTAAATGTTGTGCAGAGATAGATGTGGTCTACAATGTGTCAACTAAACAACTGCAGCTCCCTTGAGCCAGTGACTCTGTATGTAGATGTAGATGCTGAATGTTAACAGAATTATCAGTTATGTCTTTGTTAAAACATTGAGATGCGTAGGTGTGTGGATCCTAAGCATCAATATCTGGGTCGATCTGGGCATATTTTAATAGATCATATTGGCTAAAAATAAACCTGTTCAAATTCTGATCTTTTTTTTATTTGTTAAAGAATATCCCTTATGTGTACTTGACTGGCGAATTCATTATAGAAAGCCTCCCACTTGTTTAAAAGCTCTCTTCATCCTACGATTCAGTCTCTTGTAGCATCCTGGATGTGTTGCTGTTTATTGTTAATCTGCTGCACTGCCAATAAAATGTTGTAACTTGTAAATTCAGTTATCAAAAACATTGAGAAGTATGTCTAATGAACCGAGTGCATCATTATATTTGGTTTTGTTCAGGCTGGATGTCTCATGTAAGGTGGAGCAGGTGGAAACTAGCTGCAGGTCATTTCATGGGTGCAGCTTACATAATTTCTCATCCTTACTCACACTTATGAACTGCTCTTATTCACTCAGAAATCATGATCGTTCTTTCTCCAGACGGGCTGCCCCTTCAGCTGAGTTTTCAGTGGACCGTACCCGTCACCTCATGTCCTTCTTGACCATGTTGGGGCCCAGTCCAGACTGGAATGTAGGTCTTTCTGCTGAGGACTTGTGCACCAAGGAGTGTGGCTGGGCCCAGAAGGTGGTCCAGGACCTGATCCCCTGGGATGCAGGCACTGACAGTGGTGTGACATATGAGGTCAGTAACAACAGTCAACCATTTTGATGTTGCATCAGTAATCTGCTCCTGAACATGCATACGCATATAAAGACAAAAAATCAGGAATGCTTCATGCTCTATTATTTTAAAATAGTTATAGGATGGAACATGAGTTAACCGTTTCTAAATTCCAGTATTTGAGATGAAGAAAGCAAACACTCTGAATTATCGTTTTATCATGAGCTGTAGTGAAAGATGTAACAGCAGAGTCATTGGAAAGGCCTCAAACCATTTTTTAATGATATTTATTAAAATGTAGATTTTAGACATTATTTTTCAGTTGCCATGAAATATTTTGTCAAACAGTCTTTTCAAATATAATATATAAACAAATCATTTAAAAATTTACCAGTAATCATTTTAAATAAAAGGATTGTGGAAAAAAGGAATTCTCTATCATAGTCGAGCAAAAACAACAGCAGTGTCCTTCATGTAATGAACATGTGACTCAACTCAGGTTACAACTCCACACTGCCATAGCAATCACAACCATTTGCGAACTGTTATTCCCTCCACCCTTTACCCCCTGGATAACCTTCCTCTTCACTCTCATCACCAGCTGAGTCTCCCCTTCACACTCGCATTTTGACCTTGTCATCACACCAACCTCTTCCTCTTCATCTGCCTGTCTGCCTACATTCACAATCACTCCCTCTTCAATCACCTCTTCACATACTGCCAGTCTGCAACAATTCAAGTGTCATCGCCCATCCAGTTCTCCTCTAACAGCCTTGAACATCTTCCCCTCCCGCCTTCACCCTGAGGTGCTGTCTGCTGCGTGCTCAGTGTCTCCAGTCAGCACTAATAGATTAGGCTGTGTGTGTGTGCATGTTGGACCAAACTCTACGACTACATGTGTGAAACCTTTGGCTGAACCCGCTGAACTGTGCTCTCTTGCTTGTTTTGGCTGGATTCAAGAATAATTTCACTCTTCCTCTTCTTCCTCTCTCCTTTTCTCTCTCTAAGCCACCCTCACACACACGCACGCACGCACACACTCCTTTTTAAACCACGCCTGCCTTTGCTTAGAGACATTTTGTGGCTCACATGTGATAAATCTGTAAACTGTATTGTAAGGGCAGCAGGAATATTGAGGGACTTTCAGTTTGCGCTCTGTTTAACTCTACTCTGACTACTGTGACTAGACTGACAGTATCCCCTGTTGGGAGCCTGAAAAGAACTTTCAAAAATGTCAGTTCTTACTGGTTTTTTGTATCTTTTCATAACAAACAGCTTCAGCTTGCCAACTTTTGGACTCCATAATCCTTAACAACAACAGAAAGAAGTCACAGGATAAACCTGAAGTAATCTGCATAAACTGAAAGTGCAGAATGTCAACTGTGTACAGCAGGTTTTTCATGAGGCGAGTCGCAGACATGTCGCAGAGACGTAAGGCAAAGACACTGCATGAGGTGAAAGGGACGGGTGTTCTAAAAACAACAGGAAGTTGATTTTTGTAGTTGGACCCATTGATTTGGCTGCAGCTGCAGCAGTGGCCATGATCTAGCTCATGAAAGGCAATTAAGGTACTTTGAAACCCTCAGTGCTCGACTACTGCGATTAGTGTCAAAATCATATTTCTTCTTGGATTCATAACAGAGTCAGATCTGAACACACAAATATGATACACATCTTTGTGACTTAGACTTTCGTCCCATGACGCCATTGCAAATAAACCGTAAATCCGCTTAGAAAAAAGTTGCTCCTTATAACCTCAAAACCTGCCCGAGAATCATCCTGTTTTTAAGCTTTCTTGAGGATGAAACTAATCCAGTGACAGTTGTCTGTAACACCTGGGATACAGCACTCTGAATCTCAGGAAAACACTTTAACGCTCAGTTTGCCCATATACATGATTTTCAATAAAATGAAGAGATTCGCACAAGTTTCGCTCGGCTAAAATCTCAAAGATGTAGATGTTAAGTGTTGCCATATCTTTATTAAAATGACAACTTGCTCAAACCATTTAACTGAGAATAAGGACAAAACACTCAAGTATCATGTTAAAGCTCTGCAGAAAGATCAATGAAAGAAACCCTCCATCCAAAAATACATTGTGGAGGACAGTGAAACTGTGGCTATTCTGTTGGTGGGGTGGGACTTTGGGCTCTCTGTTACAAAGTTGTTGTTGTTAAAGGCACAGGCCTGTAACAGAGTAATGAGAGCCATCCTTTGTGCCATTACTTTTACTGTATCTTTTAATTAGTGGCCAGTCATTACCCCTCTCCCTATCTTCCCCTCTCTCTCACAAACACAAACAGTACCCTGTGTTTTTTCTGGGTGGCCGCAGTGGGAGGTGAAGGATGAGTTGGTCTTCTGCCTCCAGACAGCCTCTGGCGGTGGTGCTTCTATCAACCCCATGCTGGCAGACCTTTACTGTTGACTAATAAGAGCATCTCCCATATAAACTACAGTGCTCCTCCACAGCTGCTCTCTGACTTTGAAACTTGTCCTTTGTGTGACTTGTGCTTTGTGTAACTTTGAGTGACTTTGGGCTCATTATATTTGTGCAAATGTATTTTTCAAACGAATCTTGATCCCAGAGATCCACTGCTTGGTGGCCCATGTGCTTTTCTCTCATACTTTGTCTTACTGTGTGCTTCTTATAGTCTCCCAACAAGCCCACGATGCCTCAGGACAAGATCCGTCCCCTGACCAGCCTGGATCATCCACAGGGCCCGTTTTATGATCCTGAGGGGGGCGCTATCACTCCTGTGGCCAGGGTGGTGGTGGAACGCATTGCAAGAAAGGTCAGTCTGTTTTTATATCAGTCAGCTCATTGTGCAAATGCAAATTCTTGCTAGCTTTGATTGGATAATGATGATAATGCAGGCAATAACACTAAGACAGCATATTTCATCAGATAAAAGTAAATATTCAGACCATCATAACATGTTTGCAATTAATAACACTTATGTATATTCTAACAAGACCTGATTATATGTATGTATTGTGCACATTATAGCACACCATACCAACTGCTTCACAGCAAACAAAAAGAAAAGACCCTGAGTTGGGATTTTATGTTATAAAGTTTACAGTCACTGATTCCCTTGCGTTATTTGTATTTTGAGGTGATCTTCCTCTGCTTTCATCTCAGCTCTGTGTCTCCTGTTTGTGCATTCTGAGTTAACACTCAGCCCTTATTGATTCTCTTCTACACTGATAAATAAGCCAAATTTGACTGACATCAAATTTGAACACATTAAAAGATGCCAGATCTTTTTACTATGTCACAAACCATTACTGTGAAGTAAAGATGGCTTCAGATTTTTCAAAGGCAGAAAGAGAGGGAGAGTGAGTCCTCTTCTTTATCACTCATCAGGTGCGATGATGAGTTCAGTCCTCTTCATCAATAGAACAATTAGTGGAAAAAAATCCTTACCTTTGAGACTCCTGTTAACAATTCTTCTGTTCTCCAAATGAAACACAAATGAAATATAAGGTTGCTAAAATATAATCTATATTATCAAATGTCAGTTGTTACCCCTGTATCAAGCAACTCTTCATCAAAGTAGGCAAGATATAATTGCAAAAATTATAATTATCACTACTGCACTATCCTCTCATAGGTAATATTTTGACCAATCACTACCAGTGTCAAAGATTACACATACCACAAATGTGATTTGATGCAGTTCCTAAAAGAAAATCACACAAAGCATTGAAAAACTAAAACATGTAAATTTAAACATTTATTGCAGGTATTAAAATTCAATGCAAACTTTTTCTAATAATAATTTGATGGGTGGTGAAAGACATTTCCTGGGAGCTCTGGCTGCAACCCAGAAGGGGATAAAAGGCTAGCAGTCCTTCAGTGGCATCTAGAGGCAGATGTGGGGAATTTAGTGGCTCACATCCCCACAACACATTTTGTTTCTCATCTTTTACATTCCAGAAACCCAAACAACAGACACACACACACGCGCGCGCACGCACACACAAACACACACACACACACACACACACACACACACACACACACACACACACACACACACACACACACGCACACACACACACACACACACACACACACACATACACACACACACTCACACCACACATACACAACACACACACACACACACACACACACACACACACACACACACACTCACTCGAGTTACACTTTCAGATTCCATGGATATATATTCTTATGTGTGTGTCTTCTCTCTGTATTGTGTGTCTACCAGTTTAGAGATTTTTCTGTGCTGACATTCCATCTCCCTGTATAATGCTACTCTTTCTGATAGCTCTCAGAAGCAAGTAGAAAGACCAAAGAGAAACAATTGCAGAGTGGTGGAGCAGTGTAGCCACATCACTGTGTGTCTGTGTGTCCACAGGGCGAACAGTGCAACATTGTGCCGGACAACGTGGATGACATTGTAGCAGATATTGCCCAGGAGGAGAAAGAGGAAGGTCTGGATCCTGTTCCCATTTCTCTCTTTCTCTCCCTCTCTCTCTTATATATATTCAACATTAAAGTATAGTTAACAGTGATAGACTATTATAGTATCTTTATTCCCTTTGCCATCCTGCAGATGATACCCCTGAAACATGTATCTACTCCAATTGGTCTCCATGGTCCGCCTGCAGCTCAGCCACTTGCGAAAAGGGCAAACGGATGAGGCAGAGGATGCTGAAGGCCCAGTTGGACCTTAGTGTTCCCTGCCCACACACCCAGGATTTTGAGCCTTGCATGGGGCCTGGATGCAGTGATGAGGGTGAGTATCTGCCTAAAGACAGAAGGTCACTGTGTGAAAACAAAAACCTTTGTGGAGAATGACGTAAAAGACATCTGAAGTAATTAGTCTTCTAAAGGTTCGGCATCCACTTTAAAAGCTCCTTCATGAGAATTGTTTTAATCTTTTTTATAATTTTTATTGAGGTTTTAGGGTTATTGCATCCATCAACGTGACAACCTAAAAAGCAAGGGCATGTTTTAAACCCAGCCTTTGTTGGGGTAGGGCCACCGATAATATCCAAGGTACCATTCTACTGCAGTAATTAAATCAGACCAGAAAAGAGGCGAAGGAGAGCACTTTGTTTGTATGGCAGCCTTTTAAATTTTATGGCAAGTCAAGTTAAATTACATAAGGCCGTTAAATATGTTTTGTAAGATGTTAAGGGTAATTCACTCAGGAAACTATGCCTGCTGGTTGTTTATCTCCTATCTTTATGTCTCTCTACAATCATATTTGCCAGAGGCAGCATGTTGGGTGTACATGTAAGTGGGTCACTGTGACTCAAATATGGATGTTTTATAGTAATTATTTAACATAGATGATTTAATGTTGGAATGATCCAAACTTGGTTGTGCATTAAGGTTGGATTTTCCTATCAGTGAAAGAAGCTCTTTATTGCCTGTTTAATGGCTGACAGATTGAGGTTAATTATTTGTCATGTTTTACACCTTGAATGTTGATTATGCAGAAATATTAAACCCCTTGCATACTGCATATTATGATAAACTATATTTATACAGCACTTTTTAAAATTAAGTGCCTTAAAGGGGAAACCGATTAAAACACTGGAGCACTAGAGTTAAATAAAATGAGGAAAATTAAAAGTACTGAAAATGAAATGAATAAATATACCATAATAAAGTGAAATAAAAAAGAGAATAAAAAAAAAGCAAGGTGTTTTAAACAGCCAAAATATTACACTGGCCACAGATTCAGCCTCACAGAATGTATTCGTCCCATTGCCAAATCCTACTGCTCATTTATTCCAATTGCATGCATTGAGAAAGAAAACTCCTGCTTCCTGCTGTGGGTGCCTGTAACACATGCACCTTCTTCACTGTGGCCTGGCAGACTGCCCTTACACATCAACACCACAAAAATAACTTCTTGGCATAACTATGGATGTGTCTGTCTAATATGGGCTGTAATTACTGCATGGTTCATCTTATCTGATCTATAAACACCCTCAAATTAAAGATGCAAGTTGACATTTTATCTTCACTATCAGAATTTCATTACAAATCAAGCGAGATGGAGTTCAGAGCCAATAAATAACATCACTGTCTTTGTGTTGACCGGTGACAGCTTTAGCTCTGTGCTCAAGCTCAGATTTCAGTGGACCATGTAACACCATGTGTTCATTAATGGTTTTTATTAGTTACATGTCCAAATAATAACTGACTACTTTATTTTTACAGATTGTTTTTACCCTTATTTGACTTTTCGCAGAGAGAGGCAGGGCATTTAGAAGACATAGGGATAGGAGACATCAACAGTTAAGGGACAACATGACTATTGTTTAATGCGCATCACAATCCAATCTGTAACAACAAGATGCACATTGATATGTAGTGCCATGTCATCACAAGTGTTCATCTTGTCAGTGTGTTCTGGCATTTCTGCAGAGATGGACAGTTGATTGGGTGTAGTGTGCACAGGCTGTGGATTACTGTCAGGAACAGTGTTTGGGTGAACTGATCTTTTAATACTCAAATTACTGCCATCTGTTGCTATCGGGTATTGGTGGACATTTTGCAATTACAACATAGATTTGAAAAATGCTAGTTGGCTGTGTGTAAATTACAGATTTAATGATAAGACAATCATGCAAATATAAGAGCAAATGTTTGTAAAAGTGATATAAGAGCATAGTTTGTCTCAAACTTATAGATAATTATGCTGGTCTTACAAGAATAGTGGAATTTCACTGTGCTTTTGCCTAAATCTTTCATTTCCACCCCTATACATAAAGCATGCATACAACAACAAATTACTAAGCCCTGGTCATTGGATAAATTACGCAGCAGCAAGTTTTTTCTGAAAAGAGAAATAGTTTCATCTGTATCGTTAGCTAAACTTGAATATTAATTCATTTGTGATTACACTATCAACATTCGTACAGGTAGAGCTAAACAGAAAAGCAGAGGTGAGCTGGCAATGACAGCCATTAGAGATGCATGTGTTCTCCAATCTAAAATAACAGGCATAAATGAGAGTAGATAATCCCCTACATCTAAGATGTTCTCTTTTTCTCTTCCCTGTCTGTTCCCTACATTTATGTTGACAAGAAAGAAAATCTGTTGATTTCTATGTTACAGAATCTGGACATTTTCATTAGTAAGATCCAGATTTTTACATTATTATTATTTACATAGCACCTTATATGCAAGAGAAAATAGCAATTAGAGAGACACCGCAAACAATTTATACAATCCATGGTGTATATATGTCAATACTGTCAAAAAGCAATTAACTTTAAATTATCATTAACTTTAAATCTAGTAAAGTAATGCAGGCAGCAGAATGGCAGTGTTTTAGTGAGATTTTCTGTCCTTAGAGATCTAGAGGTAAACTGTTTTGGTACAGTGAACAGTAGAGAGGGGGCTCTGCTGCTCCACCAGGGACTCATCAGTGGGTCCATGAATAGATTTAAAGCATGAATAATCCCTACATCTCAGGTCTTAGATGTCATTTTTTTTTTGTATTTTTAGAAATCACCGTGTTGCTTTATTTACATTCCTTATGTGCAACTGGTGCAACTGGAATGTTAGATCAGAGTCAACTATATGCATGAAAGCACCCAAATTTCTTTCGTTTTTAATTTGCTAAGATAGTGCTGTTAATTTTAAGGACAGTTTTTTCCTTGTGTTCCTAGACCAAAAGCTATAACCCCTGTTTTCAATTTACTTACCACAGCTTTATTGAGCAGAACTTGCACTTGAGTATCATTACTTTACCTCTCGCTTTCCTGCTCAAATGTTTGTAAAGGTAAAATAAAAAACAGAGGTCCATATAGTGGCAGTAACCAGAAACCAATACCATAGAAAAGCAATTGTCTCAGCCAATGAGGTGTCATTATATGCTCGAACCATTGTTGGTAAATAACTCAGAAGTGCATCTAATTTTGTTTTGTTCGAGAACAATTAATGTCTTCAGTGAAATTTGGTTAAACATAAGGTAGTCCATTCCAGTACGGTTGTATAATTAAAAGTTATAGGTAACTTGACTTAGGATTGCATTTCTTCCCTATCTGTATGCTGTATGTATGGTAAGAATACATGTGATGTACTGTACAAAAGATTTAAAGTTTCAGAAAAAATAAATAACGACTAAAAATCACCAGTGATTTTTCTCACAGGAGTCCAGTAAGATGCAAATAACGTCAGTGACAGCTGCAGAAAAAACAAAGTCTTGTGTTGTAGATTGCAGTGGCAATACCCAAGATGGCGCACGATGTAAAGGTAACAGAGGAGTCTCACAGCCATTGACTGTATATGAGCCCTCAAGAAACAGAAGCAATGCAGCTTCACTAAGTTCACCCCTTTAAGAAACCAAATGGAAAATTAGTGTGTGTACAAATTCGTGATTGTAAGTGTCCTGTGCCTTTAAATCACTTTGTCAATAATCAAAATCACAAACCTCTTTTGAAGCTTGCTGACATCTTTCTCCTATGGCGTTTGACTCTTTAGATGCTTCCACCTGTATGATGTCAGAGTGGATCACCTGGTCTCCATGTAGTTTGTCCTGCGGGATGGGCACACGCTCCCGGGAGCGTTACGTTAAGCAGTTCCCTGATGATGGCTCAGTTTGCACCCTGCCAACAGAGGAGACTGAAAACTGTGTGGTCAATGAGGAATGCTGTAGGTTTCCCTTTTTCATTAAGTTTGACAAACCTCTACATTGACACAGTTCATACTATAGATCTACCCTGACTTCTGTCTTTGGTCTTAGCTCCCAGCAGTTGCCTGGTTACAGAGTGGGGGGAATGGGATGTCTGCAGTGCCACTTGTGGTCTTGGCATGAAGAGGAGAGAACGCATGGTGAAGATGCCTCCTGCAGATGGCTCCATTTGTGGGGCAGAGGTGCTAGAAGTGGAGAAGTGCATGATGCCAGAATGTCGTGAGTAGCAGCATTTTCAGGACAACAACTATTCTGACACCTCCTCCACTTTAAATCTAGAGAAAGTTGTCCCATTAAGCACCTGGGGCAAAAGCAAGTGGTAGCCTAACTAATGAGACAATCTTACAAGTGGTACACCTGAAGCAATTGTCTGAATTTGAAACCTGGTCTGAGCCATTTCTACATGTGTAGCACATATATAACAACATTATTCCATCATATTGTCTGTTATTTGCTGGATGTATTTGTTTCTGAGAGATTCCTGTTGTGCAGACACAATTCCCTGCATGCTGAGTCCATGGTCTGAATGGAGCGACTGCAGTGTGACGTGTGGCAAGGGGCTGAGGACACGACAGCGCATGCTCAAGTCCCCCGTGGAGCTGGGAGAGTGTACAGAAGAGTTAGAACAGGTGGAGAAGTGCATGCTACCAGAATGTCGTAAGTAGTAATCATCCCTATCTACACACCTGCATACTGTACATGTTTGCACATATATAATTTATGGAAAGTAATGATAGTTTCATCTTTGTCACGCAGTCTGGTGTCTTGATGCAGACACTGTATACACACAGGGCAGGGAAAGGAAGTAAACAACCTCTATCCTATGTAGCAGATTGACAGTAATTTAGAGCTTGCTGGTGTATATGAGAGATAACAGAGTAATTCATGCGCTGTATTTACATTGTAGCTGGAATTTTAAAGTTCCAGTTTTAAATGAGAGGCCTAACATTAGGAAGGGTGAAAAAGAAATCATTAAAATCATTAAAATAATCACAAATCCCGAGGTTTGTTAGAGCTAAAAGACCTAATTAAGATTTGTTTAAGCTCTGCTACATATTTTCTCCTCCTCACAAGTTTAACTTTAAATGACCTGCTCAGTACATATTTTGGTTACAATTCCTTAAAAAAACAAACTCATGGGATCTGTGTTTTTTCATTTAAAATAATGTAGTATTACTGGCTTTTTAAATTTTCAAACTCAGATACCAGTATTGACTTCAAAAAATAATAATAATAATAATAAATAAATACCTGTACTGGTATGGATATCCTTTTTATTCACTTCATGAAGCACATGCATATTTTTAATATGTGTTGGCATCGTTATCCCACTATCTTGAGATAAATGATACTTGATAACATCAAGAGGCAGAAGAAGCTGTTGCCAAACCATGACCCTGCCTGGAGAAACACATTCTCTCATACTGTATGTTCTGTGTCCTCCAAAAGGGCTTTAGGTTGTGGCTATACACTGGATTTTTTTTCCATGTCAGTGCTTTTGAGTTTGCAGCAGTGGTGAGGATGCTACATCAGAACCACGTGGTTATGTGAAAACAAATCTCACCCTCTGGCAAACCAGAAGAGCATCCTCTGTGGTGCCTCTGTATAATTTAAGATAAAACGCACTATATTCCCTTGACATGGATTCATATATAATGCATGACATACAGTAAACAGGACACTGCGTCAAAAAATTACAAAGTCTGATTCATCAAGGCTGTGTCATCTGCATCATTAATATACCTTACTTTATCCACTGTCTTTCCTCCTATCTCATACGTTACAACCCTGTGTCACAACTTCCTCTGAATCCCTTCTCTTTCTGTCCAATTCTCCCTCCTCAGCCATAGACTGCATCATGTCAGAGTGGACCGAGTGGTCAGAGTGCAATAAGTCCTGTGGGAAGGGTCATACGATCCGGACACGCATGGTGAAGCTGGAGCCTCAGTTTGGAGGAGACCCCTGTCCTGAAACCATCCAGAGGAAGAAATGTAAGATTAGGAAATGCAACCGAGGACAAGCCAACAGTGATGAGAAGAAACGACGTAAGGAGCAGCGCGAAAAGAGGAGGAGCAAACAGGGCAGAGCTGAGGTCGCCTCCGAGCATCCAGGTTAGTGAGAACTAAAACACCACACAGTCGACTAAAAAAAAAATTAATAAGAGACGCACACATTATTCTGACTGTCTCTCTCTTCCTTTTTCCTGATATCTATCTTTAGGGTGTAAAATGAGACCATGGTCGAGTTGGACAGAATGTACCAAGCTGTGTGGTGGAGGTATTCAAGAACGGCTCATGACAGTGAAGCAAAGGTTTAAGACTGCCCAGCTGTCCAGCTGCAAGGACAGGAAGGAGATCAGAGCTTGTAATGTGCACCCCTGCTAGAAAGTAGTAGGGGAACGGGGTTGATGTGGACGGGAGGGTGGGGGGATGGGGGGTTCAGGGCTGGGAACAGGACAGGTCATGGCACACTGTTGCACAATGATCCAATGCACTCTGTTTAGGGCTGAAATGGCACATACTTGAATCTGTGTTGGTTAAACCCAGAGCTCAGATCAGTTGTCGTCAAGAGAAGACAAATTTAAAGATCTCTCTGGAAAATCTGGATTTAAACCAGGCAGATTCCTCTGTGCTTTCAAACTAGCTCTGATACACATATGACTCTTTTGCAAGATTACTGTAAACTTGTTGTGGTATAATATATCTTGAAAAATATAATTATGAAATATAAATTGATTTAATAATAAGATAAAGAACTGTTATATCTTGTGGTATCCTTAGGTAATACAGTATATTCCAGACCTTAAAGCACAGGTGCCCAGCCATTCCAATGTTTTATATGCCTTCAATTGTTCAATTGTTTTTAGGACACAAAATGCCCAGACTTTTTACCCAGCTATATTGTTGTACATGTAGATTCACCATGATTGAGATCTATATGATTTGGAGCATTATTAGAAGATTTTGTTATTTTTTGCTGTGGAATTTTTTGATAAGAATGTGTCCCAAGATTGTTACCAAAGTCTTGTGTAGATGTTTTCTAGATGTCTTCCCTTCCGTTTCTTTATCTCTGTTCCTCTAACATATTAATATTTTGGAATAATATCACCTTTACAATAAAAGTAAATGTGACAACTTGTCACCTGGATCTGTCTTTTTATTCAAGTTGATTAAAGTATAATGTGGGGAGTTGATGGTTTACAACTTTGCTGCCACTAGATGGCAGTAACTATCTTAAAACCTTTGCCTTTTCTAAGAACTGGTCTTTCCCAAGGCTGCTTGTGCAAATGTCATGCTGTACCAGTTGACTTATCCATTTGCTCCACTATATCTCCCTCCTAAGATATATAATATCCACAAGGGGGCAGTGTGATGAATGTAAGATAAATTCAAAATAACAGATTCATTTATTTATTCTTGTGTCGTGATTTGGTATGCAAATAGTACCGCCTGAAGCTGACTAGGATAATTTGCAGTACCCTCTGTTTCATACAGGAGAGCAATTTCCTGTCAAAGGGAATGGGACAAGAAAATAATTTTACACTCATTTCAGACAGAAATTGAGGAGCATACAAAAGGTATCTGCAGAGAAGGTCCACCCTCACACAAATGTTGGTGACCAGAGAGTTTATATGTACATGTGCTGGCTGAAACCATGAAAGAATCTGCCCCCCACCCATCTTCTCTGATGTAATAGGTGGGGGGAGGGGATAGTGTCAGGCTTTCCTTACTGTGGAGCTCAGGGGACAGGGGTGAAAAATTCAATACACACATCACAATGCCGTTCCTGTTTCCATGCCAACACAACCACACATGGGGGAAGCCTACATACTTCATGGGCAATAGAAGCATGCAACGAGAATTATTACAGGCTTGATTGAGCTGTTAAAACAGAAATAACTGGAGACTGTAGATGGGTTAAAAAACGTGCATGGTTTAAAAAAAAAAGACAAGGATGAAGGATGAAGGATGTGTGCTCTCTTATCTTTGTGCGTAATCTGATTGGAAACCCCTCCAGACCTAATCCAGTCTAGTGCAGTGCAGGCTGGTGGTTATGTAGCCCAGCTGCAGTACTAACACCAGACTGAAAATCAGCTCAAAGATGCAGTAAGGCAAGTAGACCTTCCATGTCTCTGTGATATTATAATGAGCTTCCTCTGTCTGTGGACACAGTGATTAATATTTAAATTCTTGGGGCAGGCAACACTGCTGACATAAAAACAGAACTCTTTAACCTATTCTTCATTTAGCCTGTTTCTCTATGTGCTTCCAAGATCGCATTTACTGGGAGAAAACAAATCAGGTCCATGAAGTGGGGAGGTAGAACAACTCAAACATCTCTGCCACAAGCGATAGGCATTATCTTTTAGCACCACTCAGCTGATAAAACACAGTTTTGATAGACTGATTTTATTTTTGTGCCTCAAAATCTTTGTAAGGAGATATTCATGTAGTGTAGGTTACCGCAGCGCACTATCCTTCAAAAATGCCTCAGGCACAACCATTGTACAGTGAGATTATGTATGAGGGGTTTTACATTATCTATAAAACTCATCACACATGGATCATCAATCATTAAGTCTCTATATTATGTATAACTTGATCAAATCCTTGCCTTTCAGTCACAAATAATGAGTAGACGATTGAAGACAAATCTGTAACAGAGATGCAATTCCTTTAACTAGTATTTTTCAAACTATGAACTTTTCTCTTAACATACAGTATAATGATGTACTCAAGGTAGGAAAAGGGGTTTTTGACAAAAAAACAACTAAGCTTTAGATGTCTATATGAACCTTGTCATGGCATAGAGACATTTTCATATTGGCTTTAACAAGACTCAGAATCTACGGCCATGCTAGTTGCTTTGTGATGCTTGTTATGGCCCTGGCCATATTATTGACCTGTGTCCAGACTCTTCTGTGTGACTGTTTTTTTGTGTGAGTGTGTGTGCTCTGTTCCATGTGAGGTGCTTTGCGTGCTTCTCCTCTTGGTCACCCCTGACTGGCTGGATGCATGGGCCTGGCCGGTAAAGTGTCGGTTGCTGGTTGGCCATACTATACTATGATATTTTTTTGATATTTTTATGCCATACCATAGTATGACGTTTCTTGATGTTTTTATGCCATACTATACTATGACGTTTTGTGTCATTTTTACACCATAATATACTGTGACGTTTTTTGACATTTTATGCCATACTATACTATGATATTTTTTTGACATTTTTATGCCTTACTATACTATGATATTTTTTTTGACAATCTTATGCCATACTATACTATGACATTTTTTTGACATTTTTATGCCATGCTATACTGTGATGTTTTCTTGATATTTTTATGCCATACTATTGTATGACATTTTTTTGACATTTTTACTCCATACTGTACTATGACACTTTTGTAACCTTTTATGATTATTTTATGTCTTAAACTTGACTATGGCTTAGTTCTGTTTTAACATGGTGGTACAGTGGTTAGCACTCCTACCTCAAACAAAGAAGATTGTCGGTTCAAATCCCAGTCACGGAGGATTTTCTGTGTTGACAAATGCATTTTCTGCCTGTATGGGTATTTTCTGGCTACCTTGCACTATCCAAAGAAATAAAAATTAGATTGACATTTTTATGCCATATTCGACTGTTAGGTTTTTGGACATTTTTACGCCTTTCTATACTATTACGTTTTTTGACATTTCTAAGCCTTACCCTATGATGTTTTGGACATTTTTAGGCCATACTATACTATGATGTTTTTTGACATTTTTATGCCATACTATACTATGACGTTTTTGGACATTTTTATGCCATACTATACTATGACGTTTTTTGACATTTTTACGCCATACTATACTGTGACGTTTTTTCATTTTTTTATGCCATACTATACTATGATGTTTTTTGACATTTTTACGCCATACTATACTATGACGTTTTGTGACATTTTTACACCATACTATACTGTGACATTTTTTCATTTTTTTTATGCCATACTATACTATGATGTTTTTTGACATTTTTACACCATACTATACTATGATCATTTTTGATATTTTTATGCCTTACTATACGATGACATTTTTTGACATTTTATGCCATACTATACTATGATATTTTTTTGACATTTTTATGCATTACTATACTATGATATTTTTTTTTACAATTTTATGCCATGCTATAGTATGATGTTTTTGGACATTTTTATGCCTTACTATACTATGACGTTTTTTGACATTTTTACGCCATACTAGACTATGAAGTTTTTTGACATTTGTACGCCATGCTATACTATGACATTTTTTGACATTTTTACGCATACTATACTGTGACGGTTTTCATTTTTTTTATGCCATACTATACTATGATGTTTTTTGACAGTTTTACGCCATACCATACTATGACGTTTTGTGTCATTTTTACACCATACTATACTGTGACGTTTTTTCATTTTTTTTATGCCATACTATACTATGATGTTTTTTGACATTTTTACGCAATACAATACCATGACGTTTTTTGACGTTTTTATGCCATACTACACTATGACGGTTTTTGACATTTTTATACCATACTGTACTATGACATTTTTTGACATTTTTATGCATACTATACTATGATATTTTTTGACATTTTTATGCCTTACTATACTATGATATTTTTTTTGATAATTTTATGCCATACTATACTATGACATTTTTTTGACATTTTTATGCCATGCTATACTATGATGTTTTCTTGATGACGTTTTTTGACATTTTTACGCCATACTATACTGTGACGTTTTTTCATTTTTTTTATGCCATACTATACTATGATGTTTTTGGACATTTTTATGCAATACTATACTATGACGTTTTTCGACATTTTTACGCCATATTATACTATGACATTTTTTGACATTTTTACGCCATACTATAATATGACGTTTTTTGACATTTTTACACCATACTATAGTGTGATGTTTTTTCATTTTTTTATGCCATACTATACTATGATGTTTTTTGACATTTTTACGCCATACTATACTATGACGGTTTTTGACATTTTTACACCATACTATACTATGATCATTTTTGATATTTTTATGCCTTACTATACTATGACATTTTTTGACATTTTATGCCATACTATCCTATGACACGTTTGTAACCTTTTATGATTATTTTATGTCTTACACTTGACTATGGCTTTGTTCTTTGTTAACATGGTGGTACAGTGGTTAGCACTCCTACCTCAAACAAAGAAGATTGTGGGTTCAAATCCCAGTCACGGGGGATTTTCTGTGTTGAGATATGCATTTTCTGCCTGAATGGGTATTTTCTGGCTACCTTGCACTATGCAAAGAAATAAAAATTAGATTGACATTTTCATGCCATATTCTACTGTTACGTTTTTGGA